TCACACCAGTGCTAGAAAAGGGTAAAAAAAAAAAAGAGGAATAAAGTACAAGTATTCTGCAACTAGTCATATATTGTTGTCATAGAGTTTCTAATTCTATCATGACTGAATCAAATTATAAACACCATATATAGAACCATATTGAGAAAAAGTCACATCGTCCCATCACTAGTGTGCATGTGCACCGGGTGAGTGGGACAGAAGAGTGAAGGTTGTACTCAACAGCACATCTGATCCATTCATCTTTAAAATTTTATTTCATATTACATTTTCATTTATTATTCTTTTATTAAACTTTTTTATTATTCTCTTATTTTGCCATCATTGTTTTATGGACACATAAGCCAGCTAAAATTATTTGACTAATTTCAGTTGTCTATTGTTACAAGGCTGCACAACTGATCTGCATGAGATCTTACATTTCTGAAATATTTTAGCAGTTAAAGTTTGGACACAATGAAAGTCATGACTGTCAGTATGTGCATAGTCACTATCTTAATAACACTCAACTGTCATAAATGTCTCCACACGTTGAAGCCGTGGGACGGGAAAGGCTCATTTTCCTGACTTTATCAAACTATAAAGTCAACTGGACAAAACCTGTGAGAGCCTGCTGTCGGTGCATAGGGCTTATGTTTCCTGCTAACTTTTGGTTGAATGTGGGGTCTGGGTGTAGATCTCATGCTGCCTATTGTTTCCACATCCTCTGCAGCCTGAGTAATGGCCTTCTGAAAACAGGCTGTCTTTTGTTTTGGCCTCCTCGGCTCCAGAGTGGGATGCCATGGCACTGCTTCCCCTTTCTGGTTGATAGGAGGAGGAGGAGGAGGAGGAGGAGGAGGAGGAGGAGGAGGGAGTGAAACCTACTGCCACACACCACCGCTGTCTGTTATCAGCAGGAGGCAAGTCACTCTGGACTGGGTGCTAAAGCAAACTGTGTATATATGTGTGTGTGGCTCAGCTCCAGCTCCTCTCACCAGGGTGGTGTCAGCATTACTGCCACTCATAAGCCTGAGGAGAGAGAAAGGCCCAAGTCTAGCTATCAGCCAAACATCTCTGCCACTGGCTTAGAGACACAAACACATCCAGCCAGCCACCACCTTGATCTTCACCACACTTCAGTGAACGCCACTTCTCATCATCTCAATCACAAACAAAAGAAGTGAACTGTTCCCAGGGCCACAAGTTGACACATACCATTTAAGACGAGTCCCCTCCACAATGGAGGACGGCAACACAAAACACAATTGTGTCTTTGTCTCTGGCCTAGGATGGGGGAGGGCAACAGAAACTGAGATGAACGTACAAAGAGAGAAACTACAGATTGTTTTTTTTAATGCAGGTGTGCGTTTATGATCCCATAGTCAATCAGTCAACGCTCGAAGCTCTGCAGTGTCTTCTCTCTAGCCGAGTTCCACATGCTGACAATGGGTGATTAATGTGGCTGCCTTGAGTGGGAGGCAGTGCATGTAATCATGCCCCAGCCTGTAATCACCTTCCATTCCTTTTCATTTGTAATTTCCCCAAGAAGGACAGAGCTGGTGCCAGAGCTGTACGCTCCACTGCTGGGGAAGAGGACATTGTTAAGAGGGAGGTGGGAGAAGGATGGGAAGAGGTTCTGTGCCACAAGCATCCCCTGAGGTTTCCCCCTCCGATGCCAAGAACGATACATCTCTGGCAGGTGCCTGAGGGCCAGACTGTCAACTTCAACAAATTGTGGGCTGCTGTGCCTGACAAATGCCTCTCCTCCTGACCCCCCTGAGCTAGGCGGGATCCACACAGAACGCTATGTTCCTAAACATGCAGGACCATACCATCAAAACTACACACGGGGAAACAAATGCCCTTTTATGCCTCATTAGCTTATGGCGTGGATTTTCAGATGAGGGGAATTAGACGGGACACATTCCTCAGGGAGCTGAGATGTGCTCTATATCTCCAAGCTGCTTAATCAAACACAGAATGCTTTTTTTCCCCAGAGCTGCTGCTGGATCTACGAGAGCCGCTTGTCTTCACCATGCATTCAGTGTTTGCTTAAATAAATATGTAGGTGCATGGGATTTTCTTTCTTGACATATAAAAAAAACAAAAAAACAACCCCAAAATAGTAGCTCGATAAAACCACCAGTGCTTAAAACATCCTAATCTCTTGATAACTTTCTTCTATTTGGGTGTGATCTAAACAAAAACAACATGCATTTACAAGTGACACACACCACATGCTGTATACAGAATAGATTACAGCTCTGTTGGAATGTGACATATGTATTCTCTTACATTTCTAATTGTTCTCAGTTTTTTCATGTTGTTAAGTGCATCTTAATTTCATATTTGATGAAGATTTATGCATAAATTAAGTGGGATTTTTATTGTAGTCATTTAGATAATCAGCCAGTTTTTATATCTGTCTTTGCTAATGCAGATTCTACAGCAATTAAAGTAACATCAGCATTTCCCATGTACAAAACAAAACAAACAAACAAAAACCCAACAAACAAAAAACAGGTAAAAATCTAGACTTGAAACTTTAGTCATAGTTAATAACAATCATTCCTTTATTAGTCCCATGTGGGGAAATTTCACATTGATGGTGGCACTGTCCAAGTCATTGCCTGGCCACCAGGGGCAACCTGGGGTTCAGCGTCTTGCCCAAGATCTTCAACATGTGGAGTGGGGAGACGGGGAATCAAACCACCAACTTAACGGTTAGGAGACGACCACTCTACCCCCTGAACTGCAGCTGCCCCATAACTAAATACCTATGATGGAAAATGTTTGTAGTGTTGTCCATTTTATTTTCCATTCCATTATATCCACAGCGGGGAGGTTGGAGACAAACAAACCCTTGGGGCAAACCACAACACATCTGGCCTGACTGTAACGCATTGGGCTGAAAAACTCGATTATTTTTGGGTGATCCAATTAGGGTGACTACACACAGCCTGCATTCCCCCACTCATTGTTATTCAAATCAGAGGAGACAACACACAATCAGAGGGGGCTCCAGGATCTCAGCATAAGTAGCCTAAACACACACAGAAAAAAAATTATCTGCACTCAAACACACAGATACTCACAGAGATAAATCCCCTCATTCACTCTTTCTTTGATAGACAGAGACAAATCAACCAAACAAACACACCACACACAGAGGGTCCTCAGGGGATCCAGTCTGGTCCTGCCAGACTAAAGACTGCTACACAACAGGCACGGAGGGCAGGACAGGAAAAAGGAGGCGGGACATGAATAAATCATGCTTTTAGGCCACACAGAATGCAGTAAAAACACACACATTCAAATAACACACAAGACACACACCTTTAACACAACATGCATAGTATATAACTCACACACACACCACTTAACTGTACAAGGTGTTGTCTCCCTCTCATCAAACACACACACACACACCAAATTGGGAAAATTAGCAGGCCAGAGTTCATATCATCTGCCTAGCTATTACAGCAGCAAAAGTGTGTCAGCACTACACACACACACAAACAAAAACACATATTTATGAATGTCTGACTCAGGCAGACTGGGAAAGCTAATGCAAACTAAGTCCCGATGCTTCACGCTATAATCAAGAGCATTACGACTCCCATAATTACTTCTAAACATTCATTTGGCTGATAACTTCAGGCCTTTGTGCCACTTGTTGAAAAGGGTGTAAAATTCATTGCAATTGCTCAGCCATCCCAGTAAAAACAGAGGTCCACAGGTGAACTATCACAGTGTACAAACCATAGATCCAAACATGTTTCAGCACAATACAGCCCTCTGCTATATTAAATCTGAGTGGCTTGAGTGCTTTTTGAGGAAAAAATTTAATATATTCAATTTAACAGACATCATACAAAGTTTAATTCATCTTTCATTTTAATTTTAATGTGCAAATGGTGAGGCTGTGCATTGGATGTGCAACTTTTCTTCTTATCAAATGCTACACACATTCTTGTCCGTGTCCTGTTGGAGTTGCAGAGCCAGACAAGCCCCCCCCGAAAACAAAACAGTGCAACTGACCAAGTGACCCAAACACTGTGAACTGCTTCTCAGGCTGATAACCCCGCTTGACAGTCTGTGTAGGAGCCAGTGTGTAAACTTTACACAGACATCTTGTGCTACTTAGAGAGCCACTCCCACCGGACTACCACTACAGTAGTGACAGGAAGTAAAAATGAATTTGACTGCTCTTGGTCCCTTGAGGGAAATAACAGTTCAAATATTAAAACAAGTCCTAGTGCCACACGTTTTTCATTTAAAATTAGCAGTTATGTAGTAAAAGCAAGTAGGAGCAACACACTGTCCAGCACCACCACACACACTTAAATTAATCCAGTCTATATAAGGCCCCTTCCAAAACACACCACCACTCAGCTCATCTTGTCATGACAGGAAAGGGGCTGCTACTCTTTCCAACCAGCCCGTGCAATTAGCATTAACTGAAAAGTAAAGTATTCCCCATGGACACAGCTGTTACTGACTGTAGTCTAAACACACACACAGTGTACTGCAGATTATGGTTCAATTTCAAGGGGCAAAGAAAACTTGATAATATATATTAGTGTTGTAGTGTACTGCCTAGGCCACACCCTCACAAATATATTATTAATGTGTATTTTCTCAAAAGACAACAGGGTGCACACAGTGAAGGCTCCTCATTTGACTTATGATAACTCCTCTCCCACTGTTGGCTCCGTCCGTGTGTGTGCACACATCCTCCCTCCATCATGATCTTTTTTTCAGCGCCGCTCGCTGACCTAACAAAGCCTCTCCACAGTCACCGGCCTGACCCAGTGACCTGCATGCCTCCTGTCTGCTGGAGACAACCAGCTACAGTACAATCTTAAACTGTGGCTGACAATCTATACTATGGGACATATGACACGAACACTAGCTTCTTCACAGTACAAGAAGTTAATACATTATTCAGCACAGACATTTATTTTGAGAAAAGGCCAAGTGATGTGTTGGCTTCTTCCTAGCAGAAATAATAAACTTACCCCTTGGTTTCCTTTGAAACAAATTGATGGTTCACGTGGTAATGATCCCTAAAGTGAAAGAAAGACAAAATAATTCATTTGTTGTGTCACAGCTGCACAGAGTTCTGTAATCTTAGTAGATAATTATACAGTTTAAACATAAGTTAATGCCTATGCTGTGTGAATGGCCTCCAGAGGAGCTAATTATGAGACAAACTAACCTACTTATCAGCTAGATAAGTATTCAGACTGCAGCCTCTTTACGTTAAGGCACCAGGGAGGTTTCCCAGCAAACAGCTGACGGGCTTGTCTCTTCCCGACACTCACAGGATTCAGTCCTGATGTGCTATGCAGCAAAGTAGCCAACTGATTTAAGGTTAAGCAACTTGTTGGAACTTCTCCCGTTTATTTATTCCCCCAATTATATAAACACAAGACGGACTACACGCTGCCATAAAAATGAAAAACGTGAGCAAACAACAGAACGGTAATTTAACTACAGTAACAAATGCAAATGAAGCAGTTTAAAACAGAAGAAGAAGCACAAGCCACAGGTCTCCAAACACATAGGATGAAACGGTACCTTGAGGTTTTGGTAAGCCTCCAGCGCTCTGATAGCCGTGTCCGTGAGCTTCACATGGTACAGCGTCCTGTTGGGGCCGTTTTTGTTATTTTTTCCACAGGAGAGCCCATAGTGGTGCTCCTGCCTGAGAGAAGCCATCGCTGGCTTTTCTCTGTGTCCTACAATTAAAGCTGCTTTCCTCTCTCAGCTCAACACGCTCCCTGAAGGCGTCACGATGTGGGCGGGGCCAGGGCGACAGCAGCAGCCTGAACTCTGTGTGCATCAGGACACTATAGCCTGCTTTATTTGTACAGGGCTTTATGCTTGTTATTATAATAGCTAATATAATACCCAGAGAATTCTTTCATACCCTTTACTTGGTTATTTTCACATTTCTTCTTGGTTTGTCCCTTGACAAATCATCAGTATTGTTACTGAGGGGGCTTTGTAGCCTATCTATGGAAATGTATTGCTTTCACCCTGAAAAAAAAAGCTCAGTATCTTGTTATAATAACAAGCTTCTTTTTTCACGATAAAAGGTGACATTTTTCTCGTTATAAGGAGATACTGTATTTTCTCATAACAATGAAATAAGTAAAGTTTCAAATTTATGGCCTGAAGAACCATCTAATATTATAACACACACTGTAGAAAGGATCATATCACTTCTACTCCATAATGTGAGCCCTGCATAGCTTTCAGTGAGTGACAGCACTGCACAGACTGACTTCACCTGCTGTCAGTAATGCCTGTAACATGATCGGGACATGTGCAGGGTATCGTGGCTCATGAGCTGGTCATTGTGTGGAAGGTTGGTATGGGTGTTGATGAGAGAGCAGCTGCTGGAGGGGTGCTGCAGCCAGTGCTGTGCGCAATCCAATGTATAATCTAATGTGATAACAGAGTGGATCATTTCTAGTTACTTTCAAGGACCGGTGTTATGCCAAGTTTTGCCTGCTGAGAACTTGCATGCACCTTGCGGGGAAGCATTGCGCACAGCACCGGCTGAAGCACCCCTCCAGAGGCCTCTCTCTCTTATCAACACACATACCAACTGTGATGAATGTACTGTATGTGCTAGAATACTGCATATCCTATAACGCTCCAGCCGGTCCTTGAGAATCATGGACCCACAGTATTTTTCTGTCCTTATAATGAAAAAATACAGTACCTGCTTATAACGAGAAAATATAGTATCTCGTTATAACGTGAAACATATCACACTTTAACGTGAAAAGTAAACCTTTCTCGTTATAACGAGATACTGAGCAAATATTGTTTCCCATGGTGGCAGCTATATGGTGCCATACCTGTCTTCTTTCATGTTAAAGCTGCACCAATAATTGCTTTCTTTTATAAACAATGACAAATGGCTATATGTAGCCTAATATGAAAGAATGTAGACCTGTAACAATTAGCTTAGCTGATTAGCTGATCAACAGAAAATCTCCAGCTGTTCTGATAATTGAGTCATGTCCAGCAAAAATGCAAATGAGGACTTGTTGCTTTTTTACAATAAAAGGTGAACCGAATATCACTGGAGTTTAGACAATTTAATCCGATTCAAATTGTTTGGGGAATGGAAAATTCTTTTAGATGTTTTTATTCATGAAAATGGTTCATGGAGAAAATTATCAGAGGAAAGAAGGTAATCGTTGGTTATATCTCTGTGACAAGGCCACTGATGATTATCAGCCACACAGAGCATTTTAGCATCATTCAGCTCATTGTTTTGATTTTACAATGAACATTTCCCCCCATTTTATCAGTCTCATTAGTCTCATGTCCAGCAGCATCAGATTTCAATGAACACACTCAAAAAGCCCACTGTATGCTTCCAGCCCAGCACCAAACACCAGACAAAGTCAGTGACCAGCTTGTGAACACAATGGACATTTAGCAGCTAAAATCCAGATATTATTCTTAGTGAAGACCAAAACAAATGTAAAGTATGAGTATAATATATTTGAGTTAATCTGTCAGGTAGAGAGAGATGACTGAAAATCAAAACTAATGTTGCAAGTGTTTGTGCAGCTGTTGGTTACAGTACATATGTGAGTGCTGTGTTAACAGCTTGTTTCACTGCCCTAAAATGATCAAAAAACTAAAGGCATTTTAAAACAGAAATCCATGCTTTCTTCATGTTGTTTCAGTCTACTTGCCAATAAGTCTAGAGCAAGGATGGAAGAGTCTTGTGTGGTGTTTTCTGGTAGCCAGCCATTTATTTCACTCTCCCAGTGCAAATCCTGGAATGTGCAATGAACAGATTCTAAAATATATTTTATATATATATATATATATATTCACTACACTGTGCAGGGTCTGTTTTGAGTTTATTTTACTAGCAGCCATGTAACATAGCAAACAATTACAAATCAAATTTATGCAAACATTATTTTTCTAAATCAAATTCTAAACTGTCTGGTAAATAGTACAAAAAAAAAAATAAAAAAACAGGCAACAATCATAATGTGGAGCATTTTGCGAATAAGCCTTGACAGGAAAGATGAGAAATGCTTCGTTATCATCATTTTGTCTGTCCAACTTTCCTTTGTTTGTTGGTTGAGGGCCAACACTGAACAAACTTGACGTGTTTGCTTAAGGAAGTTCATGTTCAAATTGATGTCTCACAGCGCTGCAGGCGTCATCAAGTTGAACGGCAGCAAACATAAGCGATTTAAGTGTCTGCATAGCACACAGGTGACGGTGTTCAAACAGAGAACATGTGCTGAATCTTCACAGCATGACCTGGCTCCATGAATTTGTTAAAACCTTGTTACTTTACATCAGCGGTCAGTCCAATAAAGCTAGCATTTTAACAGAATATACTGTATATCTGTAAATGGCTACATACTGCATAACAATGCTTAAATATAGCAATCCTTCTCAATACCCACTGATGCATGTAGGTTTGAAGCCAAGCAGTGGGAGATTAACCCATTTCAGCCCCTCCCTCATCTTTACCTGGCTCATCTGTCTCATCCACCCATTGTTGGTGGTTTGCCATCTGCTGCATGGGAAACTGCTAATGCACACCAGGCCCCTGGGAGTGATGTCTCACACCTGAGGTCATTGAATCCCAGGACACCTGCAACTGGCAAGAAGCAGTGCTTATTCATGTGTCCCTGAAGTGTCCTTTACAGAGCAGTCAGTGATAAAAGGCTGTAATCTGTTTGTAACATTACCACCAAAAGTGAAATAACATATTACATCGCAGCCTCACAGAAACACCATGAAGGCCTATGAAAAACTACACTCACAGGCCACTTTATTAAGTACACCTGTACAATTGTATGCACGTCAGTGCGACACTTCAACCTTAACATGTGTTTATGAAACTCAAAATGTTTCAGTTTTTGGGGAAATTGTCATAAATGTATACATTCAAATATATGTTTATTATTGAGGTCATAGTTAAAGATGGTGTTGTACTGGACTACATTATATTCAGAGGTATCTCTATATTGTCGTCCTCCCCAGCTACATACATGAAAGGGTCAGAATATTAGGAACTATTGCACTGAACTGCATACAATTGTACAGGTGTACCTAATAAAATGGCCCATGAGTGTATTTGTCTACATATTGCTCTGAGACTGCAGAAGAACAAGAGGTTCACAGAAACATTTTCTATCCAAGCTATGTTTCAGATAACATGGAGAAATACCTTTGTGAAATAAGTATTATAAAAGTCAATATAGTATTACAACACTGTATATAGTTCAATATATTATTATATAGCACAGTTTTAGAAAATGTGGGGCCATCCTAAATGCTATTATTGTAGCCCACACATAGAACCTCTAATTTATAACCAGTACATTAAGGTAACTTTATTATAGGCAAAAATATTGTATGGTTTGTTACAGTTTTAAATTCACAATGCATAGAACTTTTTGATATGGTAGAATTTTTATTTAGATTCACATTTGTCTTTATAGGTAAAACATTTAGCAAATCTCAAGTCTTCACTGTGCTGTCTGCAGTAGTGCTTGTTTTGGTTTTCTGTTGAAAAGTAAGAGTTATCAGAGAGAACATTTTTCAAATGTTACACAAAATGGTTATGTGTGTTAAAAGAGTACTCAGCCAATTTAGCATTGCATTCCTTTAACTGATGGACACACATTCGCCTCCACTGTCAAAACACTGTTTACATTTCCCACAATGCAACTCAACTGGAAACAGTTTGATCAGTTTTAGGTGTGTTATGCTAGCAGTGGCTACTGTTGTTGCACTAGTTTCAAGCTGAGATGAGTCTACAGACCCAACCAATGCTAACTCAAGTGACCTTTTTTCAAATATGCAAAAATACTCTACCAAGACCTAAACTTTGCTGTTTAAAATTGGTCCCCTTTAAGATACCCAGTGTTAACAAAGTTTGCACAAACTATGTTAGTTTAACAAACTTTAAGCTACATAGTACATCTACAGTTCTCCTCCACAGTGATAGTTATAAAGTAGGCCTAACTTACCATATTTTGATGTTTAGTATGCGGTAAAAAGGAATGAGAATACAGATACAGTATATCATTTAATAAAATGAATGAAATGACAACGACTGAAGGCACTTGTATGGTTACTGAGTGTGATCCAACAAACCTGATCAGCCTTTCTCATCAGTAGTCTGTCTAGAGTACCACGGTAAATTTGCAATTCCACCAAACAAATGACTACAAGAATAATGTATAAATAATAAAACTAAATAAAAATCACAAGCTTCATCTTTAATGTTGTCTATATGGATCCTCATCTGTTTATGTCTCATTAAGAGGAAGAAACCTTTTCTTGTTTGCAGAATGCATTTATTTATAGCACAGAATGAGTGGTCTTCACACTTAGGTGCATGCAGATGCATATGGCATATGTTCATCTACATTTAGTGACACAAAAACACATGAATGCACACAGTATACCTTCAGACTGTGCACATTTCACCACCGTGAAATCCAGTCAATTTTCACAAAGACAACTCAAAGTGCAAATAACTCAAAGGCTGATACTTAGTGAGAGTGTGTGATGTGTCATCTGACACACACCCACATGCACTGTTATTTCAGCTGGCACAGACAGTGTATGTGCGTAGAGTGAGAAAGTACTTATGAATTTAGGAAAGGTATCAGGTTAGGCACACTAACAACTTTTGTGTGAGGCTGGTGTCAAACACAGCAGCATGTCTAAAGATTTTCTCAGGCTGAAAATGTGGATTTCTTTTAAGGATTTGAATCAGAAATTGTTTTAGTTCTACACAACACACAAGGACCAACATCATGAAGT